CCGTCGGGCGGCGTTCAGCGGCGCAGCCAGGACACAGAACAGGACTACGGTACGACTGGCCGCGGCTGCACTTTACCAGGAAGCCTCTTTGTTTCTGGAGGTGGGGGAGAGGTGGGAAAGAAAAGGTGGATGCAATATTCCTTCATCTTTGCAGCCTTACTAGAGATTCAATGCCTTTACAACAGTTTCAGTTTGTTTTTTCTCGTTTTCCTTAGCCTTTAAATGCACCTCATTCTTAAGTCATTGGAAGCTGTAAGCACACAGTTTACTAATAATGTTATGCAGATTGGAGCAATAATTCTTGCCTCTATGCTTTCGACTGTAACTGAGCATCATAATCCATGTTTTTAAGAGAGAATAAAACCAACAAAAAAACGAATGGTACTGCAGTATTAGATGTCTCGTATGTCTTCTGTGAATATGAATTGTAAATAGTGGAGAAATATATATCAGCCCTGCTTTTTATAGGCCCTTTCTTGCACAAAAAAAAGAGACCTGGTTGTATTTTTGTGTCCCATAGGTCAAAGCTGATTTGGTTGATTTTTATTTGTTTTGTTTTGTAGTTTTTTGCAACACGTTTGGTTTCCTGTTCTTGTCAGTTTCCCAAATTATTTTCATTTCCCCCTTTATTGTGTTTGTTTCTCATCTTTTAGCAAAGCACTTTTTTTTTTTACATAGTTGAGGAGCATCTGGGTTGGTTCAAGTGAAGGAACGAAAAGACACAAACTCGTTAGCGTGAGTTCGTTGATTTGGTTAGGACACTCCCACCCCTCCCGTCTCCTTAAAGCTGCAGGATTTTTTTTTTTTTTGTTTGTTCTCTCTGTCTTCGTTTCGACTGTTATGGACCGGCAGGATCTACCTTTTCAACACGCGCAATCCAAAGATATTTTTCCACATCTGTGTATAGTTTGAGGTTTTTGATGTACATTTTTTTATGAGATGTGTTATCTATTATTGGAATGGTAAATGGGTACATATCATGGATCTGTTTAAATAAAATTAATTAAAAAAGTAAAAAAAAACAACATAGGACGGTTCTGGAAATGGAGGAAAATACTCGGCTCATCGGAGTGAAGAGGACCTGAAGCTTTGAACTTGCTGGAAGTTTTTTTTTGTTTTGTTTTGTTTTTCCCCTTCTAGGAAACAAAATGCATGTTTTTGCTGTGTTCAAGAAATACCAATGGAATGACAGACATCCACTTTGAAACATATCAATATTTCTTCTATTTTTCAGGAAGCAACGTTTGTTTAAGCTGTCCAGATTTTGTTACTTCAAGATAAATAACAAAAAAAAAAGAAACTTTTTGAGTCGAATGAAGTACAAAAAAGTCGAAACATTTTTAGTTTTTCTTCGTTTGGAGGTGGAATAAGCTGACATTTTACGGGATGTATATTCAAAAATGTTTCTGTTGATGTTGATATTGTTGTAAATACAAATTTATATTTAAACATTCTCGACTCTGCGTTCGTATCTGCGTGCAAATCATCTGTTTTTATTAGTGTGGATCTAATAAAGACATGTTGCCTTCTCGTTGTTGGTCTGATACTGTTTAAAATAAAAACTCTGCTGATTTTATTCTTCCTGTTACACCAGTAAAATATCTAACATTTGGAGAACTTTGCTGATTTAGGATTGTCTGTAGGACTCATAGGCTAAACCGCACATTGAAAGTGACTTCTATGTCTATTAAATAAATAAAAAAAAGTACAATCTTTTTTGTCCCAGATAGCATTATGAGTTATTTTCAAATATATTAAAAATCTGTTCATGCACGGTTGAGCATAGCAGTATCTCTCGAAACTTGAGACGTGACGATGTCTGCAACAAGTAAAAAAATATGTTTAAATCCTGAAACAAAATGAAAAATCAAACAATTATAATATACTTTCTGGATTATGTATGTTCCAGGATTATGTATTTTCCAGGCCCATTGTGCCATTTTATAGCACAAGAAATTAACTGTTTCCTTCAGTTGTAAAAAATGCTACATATATCTAATATGACCAGAAAGACATGTGACTTTATTATTTAACGCCTCTGTCTCTTTAAGAAACTCCTGCTCCTTCTGACTCCAGCTTCAGGAAGTCAGAGTCGTGCTCCTCTATTAACGCCCAGCAGATGCTGATCCCCCAGGTGTTTGTAAATTTCTGCTGGCTAGTCTGAAGGAGCCGAGTGTCACTCTGATGTGGAGGCTTGGAAACTGCAGCTCTGAGAAGGAGCTTCACCTGCAGACTGCACACGGTCAGTCTAGGCGTTTTGCACAGCTAGATGGCTGCCATGGGAGATTCCTCAAATCTGCCTGGAAGAACTAAAGCAACACTCCATGTATGTTTTTCATGATGGAATATAACATGACGTAAAGCTCCAAATAGTCAGTTTTACATTAATACTGCCTTTTAAAATTAAACAAAATGTCAAAATATATATATATGATTTTGAAGACAGACTAATGGAGGAAATGCTTTCATAATTATTTCAGAAGAGGCTTTCCTGACCCCAGCTTAAGGCCACAATTCAGTTGTAATAAATGAAAAAATATTCTACATCTGTAAATTAGTGTATGTTGGTGTGTCACCACCACAAGCATGCTGTCAGCATCAACTGTGTAAAATAATAAACGGACAATCCTTAGAAACATTTTTGAAATCCTAAATTATTCCCATCAAATGCAAAAAAAATAATAAAATAAAATGAAAAAAATCAACAAATACATGAAAAAAAGCGACTCTGTCCAAGTTGTTTGTGAAACGTCACCATGTCACCGGAAGAGGGCGCTGTTGTCTCCCTGTGGGTTTTCCACCTGAATGCTGGGTGTAATTAGCTGTGGTGTCGCCAGAGGGAGCTAAAGTACAAGCGAGGCGACACGATGATTCCTTCACGTCTGTGTATTACAGGACGAGCGTGGAAATTAAATTGGTACCGAGACTGAGATATGTGATTGAAAATGCGAATTAGATAATAATAATAATAATAATAATAATAATAATAATAATAATAATAATAATAATAATAATAATAATAATAATAATAATAAATATGGGCGCCAGAGAGGTATGTGCTTGTGAATCTTCCCAGCTTGGTCAACGCTCAGTGAGCCGTGCGCCATATTAGCTCATTAGCTAATATTTAGCGGACTAGGGGTAAGAACCTGGCTGCTAAAGCGATGCGATGAAAACTATGAAGGAGATTGTGTGTTAAAAAGGGCCTCAGCTCCTGGAATTAAAAACAAAACAAAAAAAAAAAGTTTCCCTGTGTATATTAATAGGTAACTTACGCGTACCAGTGTACTGTGGGAATCTCTCTCTTTCTCTCTCTTTCGCTCTCTCTCTCTCTTTCGCTCTCTCTCTCTCTCTCTCTTTCTCTCTCTTTCTCGCTGTCTCTCTCTCTCTTTGGCGTGATTCCCAGCCCATCTGCGGCCTGGCCCGCGGATTACTGTTTGTTAATGTTTCAATCAGCTGTGTGTTGAGGAATGCGGAGCTATTTAACCTGAACTTCCCCAGGTGTGCCGAGGCGCCGCTCAGTCTGGGCCCCTCCGCCCTCCCCTGCCCTTGGCACAGAGCTCTATCACACAAACACAATCACACACTGGCCGCGCCGGGGCTGCAGCTGTGCGCATCGCACCGCAGGGAAATGGGGAAAACATTGCACCAGGGAGACAGAATAAATCTTAGAGCGGATCGCCTCGCCAAAAAAGCTCGTGTTTTTTCTTTCTGTCTTTTTTTTTCCTTTAAACCACAGAGAAAGAGAGAGAAAGAGAGAGAGAGAGAGAGAGAGAGAGAGAGAGAGAGAGAGAGAGAGAGAGAGAGAGAGAGAGAGAGAGAGAGAGAGAGGCTGACACAGAGCTGCAGATTTACGCGATAACATATTGGAACAGCACATTTAAATGATGTGTTATGACGTGAAACAAGCCCCCCTTTTACATTATTTCTTCTTCTTCCCTTTATAAACTTCTTCTTCTTCTTCTTCGCTCTCTCTCTGTCTCTGATCATTTCACACCTGGTCGATATTAAAACGAAAGTCGATTCGATGTCAGTTTTTTTTTTTCACCGAATCTGCCCGTCTCTATCGAGGTTCGCGTTTCCTCCGGTAACGCGATACTTTAATGGCCCACGCAGAGGCAAACGTGCACTTTGCGTGCGTGGACGTGAGCCGTCGTGTCTGCCACCAGTTTGGACGTTACCTGCGGCGAGCCGGCCTGAGGGAAAGAAAGCCGAGCCGGTCCTGGACGATTTTTTAATTTTTTTTTTATCTCCTCTAAGATAAAAAATAAATAAATCTTAGACGTTTCAGTCTATCCAAACTTTTGGATCGGCTTGATTTTTGCCTTTTTTCTTTTCTTTTTTTTTCTCAAACGACTAGTTTGTGACATGCAGAAAAGTTAGACTGTCTGTGGAAGATGAGCAGCTTTGGTGCAAAAACCCTACTTTTTTGGCGTGGGGGGGGGGTTGTAAATTTGTCTGGGGTCAAAAAGAGAACAGGCAGGTCAGCTGTAATAATAAAGTGGAAAATATTATTGCAGATCCATAGTTAGATTGACGTCTCACTCCTGAATTAGAAGAAAAAAGACAAACTGCCAGATTGAATAAATCAGAGACGTACTGAGTCTTGTCTGTGATTTAATAAGTTACTCAACGTGAATAATGCTGGTCAGCTTATTAGAAAACCATTAAATTAGGTTAATAAATGTTTGGGACAACTGAGCTACTATGGTGACCTCAAATCAAATGCTGCTCAGGGGCCCCATAAAATCTTTTGCCAGCCCTGGTTGGTTGAGTATTTTTCTATTTATTTATTTATTTTGACAGCTTCTGGTAAGTTTGAGGTGTTTCTGGTGATGCGTTCACTGTCACTTCAGAAAAACATTAGCAGAGCTGTGTAAAAACGCACCATATACTACCAAGAGACTTTGCTTTATTAGAAAAGAGAAATATATATATATATAAAAAAGATTAATTTGACCTTTCAGAGCTCCATACGAGAAACAGACCCGACACAGATCCTTGTTCAAAAAATAGTGTTCTTGTTTTAATAAAAACGCAAATAAAGTACATTGTAAGAAAACAATATCTTCACATAGTGTGGCATTGTAATATACAATACAGTTTTGTCACTCAGGAATCTGAGAAATTAATTTTTCTTCTTTTACAAAACGTTTGAATTCTTTTTATGATTTTACACAAAATACAAAAGGAGAGAGAGAGAGAGAGAGAAACACGAGCTTTTTTTTCTTTTCGTTTTTTAAGAAACTCAACCAGCGGCAGCGGCCTGTCGCTGGTTGCTCCGAACTTTGTCTTGGTCCCTCTGACTGACGCAGGCTCTCTGGATCTGGACCCCCGCCGCTCTCAGAGGGCCCCCTCCCGGCCCGGAGGATGTCCGGTCTTGATTTTGTAGCTTTTGATTTATTTATTTTTTTGTATTTTTTTTTCTTTTTGTAATTTTTGTTTTTCCTAGTTGAGAGAGTTTTTCAACGTCCCTACACAGTTCGAGGCGCCAGATTTCGACGTCCTTCGCCCAGACTGTCACGCCGGGTTCGCCTCGTTGCTCCTTTCCAGGGGGTCGATGTGGGAAGACGCGCCGTCTGCACTCAGCGGCACATTATCCTCTCTTCTGAGCAGCCGTTCTGGAGGAGAGAGAGAGAGGGAGAGAAGCAGGTCAGCGCATGTTGCACACGCAAGATACGATTTTAAAGACAAAAAGCAAAAAAACAAAAACATGCGCTTTGACGCGCGGATTTGGCAACTTTACGCACTCGCGCTCTCATGCAGCCACTCCAAACGCGCATCCTGCTTTACGTGACGCTCTGATTAGTGTCTACGGCACGTGCGAGGGGAGATGGGAGAGTGGGAGGGTAGGGTGTGTGTGTGTGTGGGGGGTATTTACCTCCACAGAGATGCTGGCCAGCTCCGAGTTCAGCGTGGTCAGTGGCGTGCGGGGCACGGGTTGCTGCTGCTGGCGGCTCTTCTCCGGCTCGTCCAGCTCGACCTGCAGGTCCCAGATGTAGTCGATGACGTGTTGCAGGATCTCCACCTTGCTCGCCTTCTTGTTGGTGGGCAGCGTGGGCACGAGCTCCTTCAGCTTGCTGTAGCAGCTGTTCATGTCCTGCAGGAAGACGTTCATCTGCTCGTCCAGCAGCGGGATCTTGCACTTGGAGATGGCCAGGCTCTGCTCGGACAGGCCGATCTCTCCGCCGACCTTGCTCTTCAGGGCGCAGGTAGATCCGACAACCTTCATCTTTTCGCTTCCAACAGAATGTCGCCGCCGATTGGGGAAGGGGTACGGGGTTTAAGGGAAGAAAAAAAAAAACAAACCAAAAAAAAAAAAAAAAAAAAGAAAACACGCACACACCCCCACGCACACGCACGCGCGCAACTGAAACGAGGTTTCTTCCCTTCCTTTCGGAGGTCAGGTCTACAAGTCTGTGTTGACAGTTCGCGACAGTCCAC